TTCGAAGTTGTCCTCATGATGTTCAATATATATCTGAACATATAGCAAGTTTACTTTTCAAACAACTATAAACAAATAAAAATCTACAGAAGAAAGGTCAGGAAAATATGGTGGTTGAGTCAAGCGTTTGGATTTTCTTTTTGAAGATAATTAAAAACAATATCATTGACAGGTGGCTTTTCATTATCATGATGCAACTTGATGTCTTTTCTGTGTAAATTTTTAACTAATCTTTTTAAACATGTTTCACAATAATACATGGCGTTTATTGACGTTCCAGAAGATAATTCATGATGCACTGATAAATTCACATTGTATCTCTCGTAACTATATCACAGTCTCCAGATACCCATTTTAGATTTCTGTAAATTTTCCCTAGAACCATCAACACATCATAATTCTTTTAAAATCTTAAAACATACATATGTCAAAATATACAAAGGTTTGTTGGAAACTTCGTAGCATATTTTAAATTTCAGCAAAATCTTTATGGAAAGCTTTTCGTCATGTTTTCCACTTTTTGCCCGCCGCAAATGAAATGATTGACTAGGTGTTCATCTTTTTAATTTTTTGCGCCGACAAAAAAACTTATCGGAAAAACAAAGACGCTAGTTTTGTAGAGCAGATAATTTTTTAATGAACGAGTCTAAAACTAATTCTCTAATGTGTTGGAAAGTGTCCTAAAAAAGAAGAATATATTTTCTCCCATTAATTATACGCCGCTGATTATTCATCTTTTGAAGTCCATCTTGACAATGTTTTTCAATAACTGAAATTAGAGGAAATCTATTCGAAGTACCTTGTTGTCTTCTTATTTTAATAGACAATACTTGCTAGAAATAAAAATCTGTTAGCGAAATTTTTGCAGGATTAAAATGTGAAATACAATGTAGCGGTTCTTGCTAATCACAGGAAGATTTTGAGGATGCAACAAATCTCTAATAGGTTTGGGATTTTGGTCTTCGGCCTACATGATCCCAACTTTGGAGTTATATTACAATGAAACCAAATTCGAACGCCAAATCCAAATCCCAAACCCAAATCCTAACCAAATCCAAACTATTTCATATCAATGTTGAGGGCTTGTGATTCTTTTCTCTCTTCTGGTGCTTTATTTTACAGAGTCTCGTCAGATTTAGGTATTTTAAGACTAAACCCAAACCCAAATTTTTCTACACCAAATCCCAAGGCTTTGGGTTTGTTGCTCCCCTATAAAGATGGTTCTATTCTCTCTATATTAGGACACATTTCTTCACACTCCTTTTACGTAATCTTCCAGAAATACAATCATCAAGTAGTTAATATATTGCAAAAAGTCGTTATTCATAAACGGTCTTTGATTGTATATCAACAACGTCTGTCACGGTCTGTGCGAGCAGGGGGCAGGGGGTGAGTGGAAATTTCTACTTTGTGTTTCAACATTCGTTTTAGTTAGTATGTCACACAAAAAAAACAATTAAAAGTTTGACTTTTCGATAAACAAAATTTATTTATTTCCGTATTCCTAAGAAGATATATTATCAAAAGGCTCACGGTTTTTTTGGTTTAAAAAGAAGGAAATGATTTTTGAATATTGGAAAGGCAGAGTTTATTTTTCATAAACCAAAAGATTTCCTTCATTTTGATTTGTTTTATAGATGAATTCTTCACAAAACATATCAGTACTCAAGAAGAGAACAATTATCACATGAATTCGTCTTAAATTTTTTCTTCTCGTTAAATTTACTTTCTTTTTCTTTTTGCATACAAAACTTATTCTCATTTTCTTTTCCATGTAAAGTTATCTTCATTAGGATACTGAAGAAATTCAATAAATCCTTGATCGGTTACGAATAACATGACGATCGTGTCTCAATTCTTCCAATTTTATGAGTATTAGTAAAACTTGCATCGACAAAACAATGCAAAATAAATGTAATTAATATACTGGTTATCAAAAAAAAATAAAAACGAGTATTTACAATAATAAATGAGATGATGTTTTAATCTAAGGGAAAGTATAAACCTTTCATGAAAATTAGATGCATTCTTGAGCAAAGGAAACAGAAGAAATCAGTTCTACAATTATATAAGTAATACGAAAAATAGAAAATGAGAACATGTCATTGTTTACAGTATGTCAATAGCAAAGACATCAACTAATCGACTGAGTCACTGTAGCTACCAGCAGAGTTTTTGAAATATATTAGGAACTATCGTTGCTAGCAGAATAAAAATAAATGGATCGTAGAATCTTAAACAATCTTTGACCACTGAGTTTTGAGATTGACTTTGTCTAATTTTTTTAATATTTTCTGTATCAGTTTTATTTTCGTTCTTCTTTTGAAAAAAGTGGTCCAATCATTTGGGTGCTCCTTCAAATTAAAACTTTAACGTTTCTTAGGTGTTGCCACCGAAAAAGAAACAATTGTCCTTAAAATCAACTATTGCTAACAAAAGAAAAACAACAAGAAATCATGAAATTCATTTATTACCGTGAATAACGCTGAGAACATTTACACTAGACTCTGATATTTGCATCAGACTTCACTTATAGTTACTATTTCTTCCGTATTTAAGTTGCAGACATTTGAGATAAGGTAGAAATACAATATTCAGTCAAATTCTCTTGTCCTCAACTTGATTTATTATTCATTGTATTGAGAAATTATGCTCTATTTCATTAGAACTCAGAAGAAATTATTCCAAAGATTTTTTTAAAACTTTGAGAATAAAAATCGTTGTGTTGTTTTTTAAACACACGGTAGCGGGTGACCCATAAAGAATGGGACACTTTTATTTTCTTGTTTTGAACAGCACATGCGTAGCTCAGATATTTCATTCTCAGCTCATTCGATAGAGAATGTTTTGCTCTACGAAATTGTGTATTTTATTTAGAAAACATATTCATAGTTGTTCTGTAAGATACGATAAAATGTTTTCGCTTAACAATTAATAGTGTAAAGAACAACATCAAATCAAGTTTTTTTTACACCAGCATGATTTTGATCAATTAAAGTTTTTTTCTTTTTATTGTTTATTTCGTCACGTTTTATTGGATCACGCAACTCATCCCAGATTGGATGTGATGATCAGTTTGTGATGGTGCTTCGTCTTGGTCAAATATGAATTCCTTTCCCATTAACTTTCAACTATCTTGCAATGCAGTTGGTAACATTTCATTAATATAACGTTGATAGTCGATCGTATACTCCTTATCATAGCATGATACTATCAGGATATTTGGTTCTCCGATGGATCCGTCCATTTAGATCAGCTTGCTGACGATTCGGAACCCATATCCTGTCATTTTGATGATTATATATCTCATCGGTACTAAATCTTTTTTCGTCAGAAATCTAAATTTTCCTGGATAATGATTTTGTGACATTTTATTTTCTGATATATAAATGCCAAACGAGAGCCTTTTTGCTTTTGTGCATTCATTAGCTTCAGAGCAACACATTTTACATATGATTAGAAACCAAAGTCATTTTTTATTATTCTTTGCATGGTTAATCTCGAGATATCAGGCAACTTGAACAATTGTCTTGCTGGTGTTTTCTTCTTTGTATAAAGAAGATGATGATTCATCCGATGAAGCAATCTTTTTGTTCGGTTTCAACCTGTACTTGTTTTCAAATATATTGTACCTGATTTTTTACACATTTAGATATATCTGTTGACTATTGATTCCCCTATTTCATCAGAATGTTGTTTCGAAAACTACCGGCCACTTAATTCTTGTTGATGTAATTGCAGTACAAGATTTTTGTACGTTTTCACTTTTTATGTTTTTTTCTTGTAAAAGAAGGAACTATCTTAATGTACAACTTATTTGGTTTGTAGAGTGAAAAAGTTTTTATTGAATAAGCTAAGAATGCAATCTCTGAAATCTGTTTGCCCTAGTGAAGAAAAGAAAAGAAGTGTTTCATTCTTTATGAGCCATTCGTCATCTGAAATAAACATCCCGACATGAAAAATAGATATAAATACTAATTGAGATGTTTATTAGAATTTTATATAGACTAATATCATAATATTCACATAGTCATCCAATATGAGTAAACGACAGTACATAGAGAATAGTGATAAAATACGACATGCTGATCATATTTATTTGTTAAACAAATGATAACAAAAACTCATAATCAAGTGACTGAACATATAGATCAAACATTGGCTTTATAAGAGAAAAGGTTTTCAAAAAAGTATTTCGATTGATTATGATCTGATTTGATGAAATCTATACTTTCTAGCAATGTTTCAATAACCAGAGTATAATATAGATAGATTGTGTGATTTTTTCTTTGAATTTAAATGCGACACACGAGCAATTTGGAAAACTAACAATTGGTTCAAATCATATAATAACGAAAAACATTTCTTATGTGTTTATCCTGTAAATTTCTTTTTAAGTAGACTGAAGTGCTAAATGAAATGATATTAGTCTCAAATATCGCTTATTCTATTCCGGACACATGAGGAAAATTTTGATTATTTACTAGTTCTACCTAGCAGAATCTATATGTCAAGACCAATTAGTGAATAAAAAGTCGTTTAAATCTACATTTTAACCTAGACATGAACTGCAAATTATACACATCTATTTTAACGTTTTTTCTATCATTGAATATCAATATAGGAAATAATCGAATACAATTTTTTCTCGTATGTTAGTTATGTAAATTAGATTGAAAAAGTACACAAATCAATAAGATACTAATGAGGGAACCTCCTCAGATGTCCCCTTCCAATTTCAATGGTTTCTTGCCTATTGATATTACATAATGTTCTAATAAAAAGATTGATGACAAAACCTGAAAGTTGAGTTCAACTATTCAATAATTTACGTAAACATTTTCCACTATACGATTATTGAATATTTGACGAAATCTTCAATAATTGAATTCAACTAGCAGTTATTCAGATATACAAGTTTCCAACGAGTATCTCTATCAGTCGATTTAAATCAACATTCACGTTTTTATCATTTATTCGATTCTCTATTTTATTTTTTAATGTCTCAATCAGAGCTTATATGTTATTCAGCTGTGATATTAAATCATTTAACATCAAGTATATTTTTATTATTATTACTTTCATTATCAATATTTCTTTGGTCTACATTATCATCTCGGCTATCACAAAAATATTGCACTAATGTTTTAGATTGCATAATAATAATAATTCTAGTTAAACATATAGTTCAAGTCATGTCATATCTATGCAATTTTAATGAAATAAATATTTATCTATCGACAACAATAAAGATTATTAGAATCAATCGAAAAGAAAATACAGCTTCAGTTGGTGATGTATTTGTACTTTTATCTTTATTTGTTCATCGATCAATTTTAAAAGTAGAAATTTTGAAATTATTAATATTCATAACTTGTTTCCTTTTATTTTAGCGACTAGGACTTTGGGAATCTGAACACAGAAAACCAAATGGTATGTATAACATTGATTTTTCTCTTTTTTAACAATCGAAATTAAAGAATAATAACTTAGTTTTGTGTACGATAATGTAATACAATGTTATATTACTGAAAACAAAGATACAATCGGTTCCGGTCCAAACTTCAGATCGATCAGTTTCCCATTAGACTACTAATCGGTCATCGATAGACCTATCGCTACCAACAGAACAGTCAGAGATCGGTAGACCAGCTGGTAACTGGTAAAAATAATTATTACTGGTCTATCTTATTTACTTTCTTGCTATCATGACCTCATAGAAGATGTGTAATGACATTTTGTTGAAAGTTGTTGACTACATTACATATCATTCTCTCGAGATAGGATCGGCACCGACAAGCAGTCGGCACAGATTTTAGAGTGACTGGTCTGTTGGCGACTGGCCAGTAACCGGTCGAGTCTGGCCTACTCAGATCATCACTACTCTTCAAGAATCTAAAACAGGTTCTATCTGTGACTGAAAAAAAAAGATATTAGTCTGTTAGAGGAGAACAAGATTTTAGTATTATTAAAGCACTATTCTCTGGATATTTAGAGACGAAAATCACCGATGTTGATCGAACTGATCAAGAACAAGAATGGTTTTTTAGTAATGCTTATTTTATGAAACCAATTATAAGATTTTATCAACAATTTAAACAAACATCATTTGTTCGTAATGTTTATGTTTGTGATGTTTATGCGCCTATGTTGTGTTGTGATCTTATTAATACGATAATTTTTATTTCTTTTTATGGTCAATTTACTGTATGTATTCTTTGTTTTTCTATATTTCTAAACTGGAACCTTTATAGGCACAATTTGATAGAAATATTCTACAAATAATAAACGAAAACAAAGTAAAAAAGCTGTATTTTATTTAATTGATTTTTATTTTAAGTCTAATAATATTTTAGGTGCCTGCAACATTTGTTGTTATCTTATTAGTACAATTAATATTAATTATAATTGATCGAGCACTTTATTTACGTCGTAATGTTCGTGGTAAATTATTCTTTCACGTATTTCAAGTTATCGTTGTACACATTTGGTTGTTTTTGGTTTTACCTAGAATAACTCGAACGTATGAGAAAGAAAGATCTTTCAATTTTCAAAATTTTGTTTTATTTTTTCAAAGGAAATTTTGTAATAATATTGCAGCTCAATTATGGTATATATTCAAATGTATTTATTTTGGTTATTCATCAGTACAAGTGCAATTAGGTTATCCAAAACGTATTGCAGGAAATTTTATTACGAAGCGTTTTAATTATGTTAATCAAAATCTATATCGAATGTAAGATTTTTGTATATTAAATGAATATTCGAAAAAGTTGAAAGAATTATTTTAGTTATTTATTAATTCCATTTTTACTTGAATTACGAACAATTATGAATTGGATGTGTATTGGTACAGCACTCGATTTACCAAGTTGCTTACAATTAGACGATATTTATTCAAAGATTTATTTATTTAAATGTTTAAAATGGACAGAAAAAGTAAAATATAGTAACATTATTCTGTGTGAATACCATCCCGAATGAAACTTTTTTTTCACAATCTTGACATGCGCACACCTCAAGATTTGTCCATAGTACATGACTGTCTTTTTCAAGACAATTACTTGAGTGTTTGCATGAGTTACAAGCAACTCATGCGCTCAATTCAAGAAAATTTAGCTATGAGTTTTTATTAAAAGATGAGTTATTTTGAACCTAAAACTGGACAAAAACTAAAAACAATTTTTTGATATTCAAGCATGTAACTTCCGCTTGGATAAAAATTCAAGCGCATGAACAAGAATGCTAAAAATTTTGTTATAGAAACATCGAACGCAACATGGTGTAACTCGACCAAAAACAACGAATTATTGCCTTGGCGCTTTATTATTAACTTTATTAATATTATTATTGATGTTTCCATTATTGTTTTTTGCATTTACTCCATCATTCTATCAACCAAATCCACCAAATGAAGTTAATGTTGAAATAAAATTAGCTGGTTATTTAGTAAGAAAATTGTCTTTTTTTTTTTTGTTTAAATTCTTATATTGTATTTCTTACAGTCAATTTATCAAATGACTGCACAATATACTGATTCAGTTCCATTTACAGAAGCTGATTATAATAATTTACGTTCATCAATCTATTCATCAAATATTCAACCAACAATTGAAGTAAATCTTTTTTCAAAAACATTTGTTTTGTTTTTATATTTTGAATCTGAATAGGATAGTGCTTATGCATTTTTACGTGATTTTAATCCAAATGATATTCATTGTGTAAATTTATTTGCAACAAGTGTTAATCTATGGGAAATAAGTCAACCAATACGAGATATTGTTATCAATAATTTACGATCAAATCTAACAGTACCTGTTCGATTTTCATATACAATAGTACGTAATCCACCAAATCAAGATGATTTAGAAAATATTGCAGCAGTTGTCACTGGAGAAAATAATGTTGATATAACAGCAGAAGATCAACAAACTTGAAATGCACTGATCGATATACTCAAGGCCCCCCACCCCCCCCCCCCCCCCCCCCCCCCCCCCCCCCACCCCACGCCCCCACCGCCACACCACCCCCGACACCACCTCATCCTCAACTTCGT